CAAATTAGCCTTTTTAATCTGAATATGGGTCAAACACTTTAGCTACTTTCGTGAAGGCCATACTTATAAATTTCTAGGTCAGGATTACCAAGTGCTATTTTCTTTTTTTTAAGACTTAAGTCTCCCATAATGTGCTGGAAGATGAGATATCTGTCTGTGTGATTTTAAAGGCACATTCTCCTGAGACTTCAGCACCACTGAATTATTTTGTGTATGTGATAAAGATATCTTTTTACAAAAACAGCTAAAATCTGTATTTTTACTTGAAAACCTCTTAGCTCTGAATCTTAGCCTTGATCAATATTAATTCAGGACCACGTATTTGAAAGTGTGTGGTTTTGAGTTGGAAATGTCTTTACCACATATGAAATTGAAGTGAAATTTTTCTGCTGGATAGGTTCCCAGGAGAAGAGCTGAGCAATTGAAGAACAGCTTAAAAAGTCCTAGTAAATATGGAAGAGTACGCATGGGTTCACCTCTTCTCCTTTGCAGACTCCAAAAATGAGAGTAAAAGAAAAAGAATCTCTGGGCTGGGGATTTAGCTCAGTGGCATAAGTGCCTGCCTGGCAAGTGCGAGGTTGTGAGTTCAATCCCTGGTATCAAAAAAAAAAAAAAAAAAAAAAAAAGAATCTCTTTCAGTTATTAAACTGTAAGCATAGAGATACAGGACTGGGCATTGGATTGAACTGTTGCCTAGTGGAACAGAGAACACTTAGACCTGTGTGCTTAAGGAGTGCTATTGTAACAAGTGTGGACTCAAACCCCCAGCTGTCATGGCCCCTGAAATACAGCAGAGAAGATTGGCTCAACCATGGGGTTTTGGTAAGGAGGTTGTTCGAAAATTTGATTACAGAACAGATCTGCAGTCTTTGTATGGTTAGGTGATGACTCTGTTGTAGTTTGTACAAAATGGCAAGTTAATCCTCTGGGGAGAGCTGGGAAAGCTCCTGACTGTTGACACAGCTAAGCTGTGGGCATACAGACAGGGCATTAAGTAAGCCTGTATGCTGACCCCAGGGGTCCTCAGGCCTTTTCCATGTTCAGCTTGTTGAGGCCAGCAGTCAGGTAGAACCCCTCACCCCTTCAACCATGTAGGACCCGAGTGGTGACATCATTAGAGAAATAGATTAGCACTAGGATCTAGTATTTAGAGCTCCCCAAAGAAAAAGACCAGCTCGTCACTTTGTCACCTCCCTGCAGCCCACTTTCCTTACTCAGCGACGGGCATGTGGCAGTGAGCGAAGCAGGTATGAACCTTTCTGTTTTGGGGAGGAAAGAGTTTGTAACTGTGTGACTGTCAGACAGCATGTAGGGCTGAGGTGCCCGACAGAGGAGACAGAGGAGCGGTGAGAGGAGGGAGAGCAGGACCTCTCTGAGGGGGTGAGCTTAGAGCGTCCTGCACAGCACGAAGGAGCTGCCGGAGGCTGCTCTCCAGGCAGTGCTGGAGGAGCTGGCATGTGGTGTGCACAGAGAGCTTACTGTCACCAGAGCGTTCAGTGATGGAGAGGATGAGAACTCGAGATATACTGTGTGATGTCAGAAGGCCCTGGCAGGTTTGAGTGGAGGTAACAACCTAGTAAATAACACTGCACTGTATAAGGAACAAGCTATAGGTGGAGCAAGGCTGAGAGGAGAAGAGGGAGAAAGCTTTTGCATGAAGATGACATGGGCTCCAGTAGTAGTGGCAGAAGTAGTGAGCTGTGGTTGGTTTGGGCTGTGTTGGGTTTTAGGAGTGGTTATTTGCTGGCGAACTGACTGTTGCATATAAGCAGTAGAAAACTGCCAAACGTGATACCATACCAGGGACTTTGTCTTGAGTAAGGAACTGCAGGAATTCCTCCTTACTGGAGGAAGGGGCATGGAGGTTTTGTTCATTGATTTAGTTTGGGGAATGTGTGGGTTATGTGAGTCAAGTGGTTTGAAGCAATTCTGGTCTACATATGTGGAGATTCCTTTAGCTTCACATGTGGTGTCTTATTCATAATGTGAGTAGGCAGCCAGAGATCCCCGCATTTTAAGGAAAGCCTCCCCTAGGAAAAACAGAAACGGGAGTGGAAGACAGTGGGCATGAGACTTTAAACAGGGGAGCCAGGAGAATAGTCAATGAGAACTTGGTCAAGATCCACAGAGCCAAGAAAAGATAGTGAAAGGCAGTCCATGAGACAGACAAGACATCATAACAGTGGTACAACATGAGCATTTTTGAAAGTGAAAATACGGAAACTAAAAATTTTCAGTAGCATAGCTGGAATATGAAACAACCTCTAATATAGAACCAAAACACAAGAAAATAGGGACAGATCTAAGAGTACGGTCACCCTCCAAGATGTCTCACAGGGGCCAAGGGTGAATTGCCTGGTAGGGAGAGGAAGCTGGGCTGTGGAAGTGACAGGACTTCTGAGGCTGGGTCAAAGAGACCTTGCTGCTTAATCCTGGCTCACCTCTTGGATAAGCCGGCTGCTTGGCCACGTGGATGCTCAGACAGCGCTGTGGAGAGGAAACCATTCGCAGCGTGTGTGCGTGTGCGGTGCCAGCGGGATGTGGACCCTCCTGTGCTGCAAGCCCAGCACACTGTGGGTGGCGGTGAAACGCTCTGCTCCGCTCCCAGATCCCTTCTCCACAGAAATGGTCCCCATAATAAAGGCCCCTGGGTTTTTTCCTCTGATGCTGGAGATGAAACCATGCGTGTTAAGCCTTTACCACCCAGCCCCTGGCTTTAGTTTTAAACCACCAGTTTTTGCTGTGATTAGTTGTCAGTAGGTAACTAATACATTCACCTGTTAGAATTCTGAAAAAGCTGTAACAAAAAATTGTAGGGTGTGGAAGGAAATGAGCAAAGGGAAAAAAATTAAGGAAATTCTCCAGAGATAAAGACATGAATCTTTAGATATACATCTTTAGATTCCTAAGAGTGATATTAGATCCATAGTGAAGTGTATTATAAGTCATGAATGTGGGAACTCTGTTAGCAGCGCTGACAGGTAGGGTCCTGGGGTACATGCCTTTCAAGGTTTAGGGGAAAGTTAATTTCAACCGAGGATCTTCTACCTGATGGGAATAGTCTGAGGGTACCAGGTCAAGAGTCAGGGTAGATGGGGGTTTCCAATCACTGATTTTACACATACACACACACACACACATGGTCTGGACAGCAGTCAGTCCATGTTACAAGCATAGTAAAGGGAGGGAATGGAGCTGGAGAGGTGGGGAAGGAATAGGTAGAGATTTATTGCTCAGTGTACATAGTTATGTAGAAAGCTGTAGTTAATCTAAGTTTGGCAAAACAGAATTCTGCCATTATGAAAGAAATATCCATGTTGTCCTAATAATGTAAAGTCTGTGACTTAAAGAAATGATATATTGTGAGCCTGGAGGGTGGTAAGAAGACATAGATAGTGCCTGATATTAATGAAGCAGAAATATCAGAACTTTAAGTACCTCAAAAGATGGAGAAAAATACCTGAATAAACAAGTTAAAGGGTTGAAATGTAGCGTTCTTGGCTTGGCTGATGATGGTGGATTAGACATAGAACTTCTTGTTGTTGCTGTGAGCTTTTAAGTATTATGTCCACATTTAATACAAAGGAATGTTAAAACTTTAAAGGGGCACTTGAGAGGCTCAGGCCGAATTGCCATGAATTTGAGACTAATTGCCATGAATTTGGGCTACACAGCAAGACCCTGTCTTCAAAACAAAATGAACAAAATCCCCCCCAAAAAACTCTTCAAAGTTTATGTTGATGTTAATAATAATTTATTTATTTTTCCTTATAATTTATAAGGAAAATAATAATTTATTTCCTTTTCCTTTTATTCTATTTCATTGTTAGAAAAGCTGTAAAAAGTAAAGTGATTTGTGACCTCAAGTTAGTGCAAGGCCCAAGACTAAAGATGAATCATTCCTCCCTCCTGAAGCCAATTCTAGTATGACTACCTTGTATCTCTCATCCACTTCTAGCCTCATCCTTCTTTTGCTTTATGTTTTAGACATTATTTTGAAAAATGTTGCTTAGACATTGGTAAATGCCCCTTTATTTTCTTTCCATGAGGGGTAAACTTTTTATTGCCAAGGGAAATGATGCAGTATAGGAAATTGGGATTTATATATTGTTTTTTCCTGAAGATGGTCTTATTTTTATCATAGCAAGAATAATAAAATAGAAGCCATTGCTTGTGCATGTTAGTACTTTTTCTTAATAAGGGGAAATGGGTACAGTGAAGGAAGATGGGTTTGTGTAGTAACTTTGAATTGTTTTTATCTCCAAGATTCTTTTGGTCTTTATTATAAGCATTAGTAACACAAAGTTGGACCTCTTTGACTTTGTCAGTTTGTCACTTGTAGTTTCCTATGTCTTGAAAAATCTCACTAAGAAATAAATGTGGTTTTTGTTTGTTTTTATTTTTTGGTAACAGGGATCGAACTCTCACTTGCCAGGCAGGCGCTTATGCTACCGAGCTAAACTGCCAGCCCAAATGTGTGTTACTTTTAATTGCATTACTTTAGTGTACTACTTTTACTATTCTCTTTTCTTTTCATAAATAATTCATGGCCTGATACATTGAAGTAAAACAGAAATATGAATTCCACTATTCTATAAAATGTGACTATGTACTAGTGGGCTAGACAATAACAGTTGTCCAGTTTTCTTCTATGCTAACCAAAGTATAAAATAATGTAATAAGTGAAGTGAAACACTACAGCCAGCTGCAGACTGCATGTGATTCCTGTGTCACCTTGCGGTAATTTGTCTACTTTAGCTGCTTTAATTTATCTACGCTATTTGCACAATGACTAAATCACTAATGACACATTGCCCAGAAAGTATCCCTACTGTTTCAGATACTGTAGCCCTGTATCTGAAAATCCTGACATATGACTGTGACTTGTCCATTTGATTTAGATGTCATTCTTTTTATTTGACCATGATTCAACAAATTAGAATAAAGTAGGAGACATTGAGGTGCCAAAGTCTGACACTTCTTTTTTGTATTTGCTGAAGACGGGCACACAGCCTTTTAATCGTGCAATGCTCTTCAATGTGGGCTTCAAAGAAGCCATGAAGGACAGTGCCTGGGACTGCGTGATCTTCCACGATGTGGATCATCTCCCTGAAAATGACCGGAACTACTACGGCTGTGGAGAAATGCCACGTCACTTTGCAGCAAAATTGGATAAATACATGTATATGTAAGTGTGCCCTGTTCCCAGTATCATACGATAGACTCGTACACTTACAGCACTGAACTGGCTTAGCAGGTTTGGGTGCCAAAACAGAGCTCAGGAGCCTGAAGAATATTGTGTGCCCGCAGCTGACCTCCTGGGGAGCCAGAGCATAGAGTGACTTGTCACCCATCGCTCTGGGCACTTCCTTACCCGGAGGCTTGAATGTGGTGTGTGGGAAAGGGAGCCTGGTTTCTGCAGTAAGGGAGTGGAGATTTAAATCTAGCTCCTTGCACTTGGAGCACTGGGTAAGCTGTGTGTACCTCTAAAGGCTGGTTTCCTCTGCTTTGGAGGCCGCAGAGCAGATACTCTGTGGGATCACCCTGCCCAAGTCATGGGTGTGTGGCCCGGTCTGGTTGCTGCTGCCTCCTCTCGCTCTGCTGATGGCTAGAGGCCAGTAGGCTTTTCTTTTCCAGTGTATTTTCTTCTTAAGCTCTGTATTCTTGACCTGCTCTTTAATTGTAAGATACCAATCTATTTATTTTCTGACTGGAGAGATCTTAAATGTAAACAGTTATCAGCACTGTAAGAGTAGCTTGACATCAAAGGATGCAGGTCTGATCTGGGAAGGCAATCACAGCCCTCATCACTGATGGACCCACGTGGAGGGCAGAAAAGACTCTGGCCTGGTGCAGTGTCGTCTGCGTCACAGTTTTGGCTGCTGGCCTGCATGCAGAGTAGAGAGAGGCACACAGGCTCAATGACACAGTGTTGAATTGGCATCCAATTTTTCTTTCTTTTCCTTTTTTTCTTTTTTCTTTTCGGTTTAATAACCCTTTTCCTCATTATTCCTCTCTCTGAACTCCCAAGTTTGGGGTCACCTGGGGGAGCCATCAAGGACATTCCTAGCACAGAGCGGAACTTGACTTTGGTCAGCCGCTGGAATCAGGTTAGATCCAGCATAACTGATTTTTCACTAAAATGTACCCTAAGGGTTACAGGTTTTATAAACTAAGAGTTCAAAATTAATATTCGTAAGTTTTTAATGAACAGAAGACTTGTGTGCACTCGGAGCAGGCCTAGGATGGGTAGGCTGCTCTGGAAGGCCGTGCGGTGGGAAGGGGGACCGAGGAGGCAGTAGCAGGTCCTCTGCGGGCTGGGCTGCGTCAGGCCTTCTACTGCAGGCTGACGCCTGGGGAACGCTCAAACTCTGGACCCTGCTGACCCAAAAACTCAGGCCCCCAGGTTTGCCATCTGTCCTGCTTGGGGTAGTATAAGATAAACACTAGAAGATTTTACTCAGTTTTTATTATTGTACCTTTATTTTGTCTGTTCTTTTTCCATTGTGTGTGATTTTTTTTTTTTTGAGATGGTCTTGCTGTGTAGCTCAGACTGGCCTTGAACTCACTATGTAGCCTAGGCTGGTCTCACACACATGGCAGTCCTCCTTCCTCAACCTCCTGAGTGCTGCCATTGCAGGCATGTGCTACCATGCCCAGCAATGTAGTGTGTGTATAATTCAGTCAGTTGTTTTACTTAAGCAGAATGGCAGTAGAACCGATGGTGGGGCTTGCTGATTTATACATGCCGGTAAACGTACACACGTCTATTCATATCCATTATCCAGTGGGTTTTTGCCAAACCACTCGCCTGAGCACAGTAATCCAGCTGGCGTGAGAAATGCAGCCCTTCCAAGGATGAGTACTGGCACTGTGGGAGCCCAGGAGCATCACTACTAGAAGCCCAAGCTCCCGATCATGAGCCTTACAGAGTCAGTGTTGTAGTTACTGCCTTGGGATGTCCTTACCCCAGGGTGGGAGCAAAATCATTTTCTCCTGCACCCCTGGGACTGGTTATGGGAGCTGCAGTTCTCTGGTTCTGTGAGCCCCGCAGACTCCCAGCTGACAAATCGCAGTTCTTCCCCATAGCATGTGATTTGAGTCCCTCAGACACAAGAGGAAATCTGCACCCTGGCTTTCTCTGAGACAGTTTTGCCCTGGCTCCAGCCAGACTTCCTTCATCTTGGTTTTGGGTGTTGTGCACAGTTACGTTTTCTCTACTGTGCTGCATAGTGGCCCAGCCCTTTCGGGGGCCCTTTGGGGTACCCCATGCTCTTTTTCGGGCCATAGTAATTGATTCAGTACTGCAGGTTCAGGGGTGCTGCCTTGACATGAACCACTAATCCATATCTAAACTAACTTCAATTATTAAAAATGGAGCTTAAAAATACTAGTTTACCAATTCTTTGGAATATGGATTAGGACAGGGTAAGAATAATAAAACCTTCATTCAAAAATACGGTTATCTCTCTACAGTAAGAAGAGCATCACTACTCTTTTTTGTACATTAAAAAATAAACATTTGTAGCTACCTATGAGTGTTCTGTGAGTGTAACAGAAACATATACAATCATTTTAGATGGTGGCACATACCTGTGATCCCCAGCAGTCAGCCTGGGAGGCTGAGGCAGGAGGACTGAGTTCAAAGCCAGCCTGGGCTACATAGTGAGACCTTTTTATGCAAAAAAACAAAAAAGAAAAAATAATTAAAAGAAAAGGTAGATAATCATTTCAAAATTAAATTCTAGAGTGGCTGTAATTTACACCTATCCTGTTCTTTTTAATAACTTTTATAAATAAGTTTGGTTTTAAAATTTTTAATTTAGCAAAATCTAACATTACATTGGCAGTTATTAATGTATTTAATCAAGTTTGTTTTTGTTACAAGAACATTATACAAATTTTGAGCATTGAGCTTTGAGTGTTATAAAGTGACCCTATTAAATATAGATGTCAGTTGCCACAAGGGTTTTTTTTGCATTTAGCCTGACACATGTACTTGTTTCACTAGAATATAAACTTTACATTTCTAGACTGGTATTTAATGAACCTAATTGTTTATTTAGAAACAGTATATTTTTCAGAGCACATGAAAAAGAAAATTTGATCTCATCTAGCGCACTGTAAAAACTTCATTGAAAGAATGCCATGTCCTGCTTTGTTTTCTAGTCTTCCATATAAAGAGTTTTTTGGTGGTGTAAGTGGGCTGACGGTGGAGCAGTTTAAAAAGATCAATGGTTTCCCTAATGCCTTCTGGGGATGGGGAGGAGAAGACGATGACCTGTGGAACAGGTATGTGTTAAGAGACAAATTACTTAAAAATAGAATCTCAACTTTTTCCTATGAGATAAATCATACTTGACCTATTCCAAGAAAGGATTCTTCAGGTTGGAAAACTTTAGAAGTTCGTGCATCCTGTTTGCATTTCTTTCTTTCATAAAGGGTTTCTTCTGAAAGTTTGGGCAGCATTCCCCTGGAGCATCCTTTTGCATCTTGAAGTTGAATTCACACGATCCATTTCTGTGTGTCTTTATGCTGTGTTGTAGAGTTCACTATGCTGGATATAATGTAACCAGACCAGAGGGAGATGTAGGGAAATACAAGTCTATTCCTCATCACCATCGGGGGGAAGTCCAGTTTTTAGGACGGTAAGTTCAATGTCATTTTCAGACACTGAGTCTGTTCAGAGCTGTTTAATTATGTGGCAGGTTAAAAATACACTGCACCCTGCTCTCGGCCTTAGCCCTGTCTTCTTAGAAATCTCCGTGATGAAAGCCAGGGTGAGCTTGGGGGAGGTAGCCGTTGGCGAGGAAAGCAGTAGAACTGGAAACTGGGTGACAGATCTTTTCCATATGGGAAGAGGACCCAGAAATGGAGGAGAGAAGGGGAAATAAACAGAATGAAGATGTGTTATGTTCATGTACCAACTCTCCACAGTGAATGTGATCATGTGCTATAAACATGCACTAATAAAAAAACATTGCACCCCAAAAAACTCTGCTGAAGAGAATATTCTTTTTTTATTTTTTTTTTTTTTTGTCTTTTTCCTTTTTATCGGTACCGGGGATCGAACTCACGACTGCCTGCTTGCAAGGCAGGTGCTTATGCCACTGAGCTAAATCCCCAGCCCCTTGAAGAAAATATTCTCTAAGGAAGGAAAACGTGCTTTGTGCTTGTTTTAAAGAGATACGCGTACATACGTACATATTTATGTTTAAAAACCCAGTTGTTTATTTAAAAAATGTTTCCTTAACATAAAACATAACACATTTTATTTCTTAAGTCTGTCTGCATTGTCAGAGTTCAAAATGGTTTTTTTTTTTTTTTTTTTTTTTTAAAAACATGGGATATTTTGACTAGTAAAAATTCCATTTCGGAATTAATGATCTGGAGATTTTTTTTTTTTTTGTACCTGGATCAAGCTCAAGACTGCATGCTTGCAAGGCAGGTGCTTATGCCCCTAAGCTAAACTCCAAACCCCTAGAGTTTTTTTAAAGTTATGCAAAAGAAGCTGAAATTGTAAAGAGCTTTTAATGCTTTAATTGTAAGTGTCCTATCTAGAACATACTTTGCATCAGTTTTGGTTTTTTGAACTTGTTTTCTGTAACTTCCTTGTTTTTTCCCTTTAACGCTGTAGGTATAAATTACTAAGGTATTCTAAAGAACGCCAGTACATCGATGGGTTGAACAATTTATTATACACTCCAAAAATACTGGTTGACAGGTTGTATACAAATATATCTGTAAACCTCATGCCAGAGTTAGCGCCAGTCGAAGACTATTGACAGAAGTAGCCCTGTGGTGGGTGGGCCACAGTGCTGGACCAGAAACCTGGAGTGCGCTCGTGACGGAGGTCAGTGATTGGATGTGTCTCAGTGCCCTGACTGCAGAAAGAGCCAGCCATTCTCTATGTTTACAGCGTGGGATTAAATTCAGTACCGTTCTTCCCCTGCTCTCTACATGTGACACGTCCCATGATGAGCACTGCAGAAGCGGACGCCATCGCTTGAGATTGGATGTTAGGAGGGAGCCTACAAAGAGAAGATTTTTTATACTAAAATCTATAATTTAATTCAAGAGAATGCTTTTATTTCTGTTGAAACCTATTTTGTACATGTGATGTAAATTAATGTGTTCAAATTGTTTAAAATTACGATGTGTCACAGTTTTGCATGTAATCAATTATGCCTTTATTGGACTTTTCTAGACATTTTTTTATTTGCATGGGGAAAAAAACCTGTAAATTTATGTCAATAAACAGAGGTTAACCCTTGTGTGAAATGAAGGAACTGTCAGTAATTGACAGCAAACTAACACAGTAAACCGTTACCCTAGATTTCAGCTTTAGACCTTCAGCCTCTCATGTGGAAGAAATCACAGCCTTCTGAGGGCATTAAAGGGAAAAAAGAAAGGACTTAAACGGCTTTTCTTCCTGCCAATATTAGCTTTTTTTCCTTGCTTGCAGTCTCATCAGATTTTGCTGAATAACAACCATATTGTTTATGCATATTGCATGAGTATTACCGAAATCTTAAAAGTTGTGATGTGACATGATATTAAGGACCTCTTTATGTTAAATGTCTTTCATGTATTTCCGGTGTACGCGTCAGGGATTTTGTGCCTCTAAACATGTTCCCAAGGTTGTGTGTTTACACACTGTGTATGTCCATTTTTTTTTAATTATTGCACTTTTATTATTTCCAGTTCAGAAGAGCCAAAAACCCACCGTCTTTGTTAAATAATAATTTTTTTCTTTTTTAAAGGAGTGAGCTATGAAAACCCAGTAGAACTTATACAAATGAATTATACTATTAGATAAAAATTAAATATTCTATTTTTATGAATATAAATGCTTAATAAAGACAAATTTTAAGTTTAATTCTCAGGCTTATAGAATTTCACTTTTGAAAGGAACCCTTTTAATATCAACAGTTAAATTCAAATTATATTTTTTCCACTTTTAAGAAATCTTTGCTGTTATTAAAATTTCCTCACTAAAAGTGTAATTTAATAGACTATCTTAAAATGCTTTATCAGTTACTTAAATGCACTGTTATATATTTCTGAAAACAGGTCTTATTTCCTGATAACAAATATTTTTATCTTAAAATTGGATGAAATTTTTGAGGCAAAATCAAACATTTTTAGTTTGAAAGATATTCGTTAGAAAGATCCTTTAAAATATATTACAATATTTTCACAAATACAGAACCAAAAAAAGTGAATCTTCAACAATGAAGAGTGATAGAATTCTATATATGAGGAGTCTTTGGGTAAAATTTGTCTCTGAATTATTCACTTAAAACAGAAATGTGGTTATTTATCTCAGGTTGTAAGTTTAATTTTCAAGTATCATTTTCTATGACAGTTTTAATAACAGAAATGACCATAAACCAAATTATAAAGTAATTGAAATTCTTATAGTTTGAAAAACCTTATAGCCTCTCTTTATGATGCCAAACAGAACTTTTTTGTATTTATTTCTTAGAAATATTTTCAAAACATATCTCTCTCTCTCTCTCTCTCTCTCTCTCTCTCTCTCTCTCTCGGTGATACTCAAAATAGTAAAAAGAAATCAAAACTTCTGAAAATTAAGACCTTTGCAGTTAATTTTTTTATCTGTTCACTTTGTCTCTCACAGCCAACATAGTTTAATTTGATGAAACAAAAGTAGAATGATAAAAATTGGTTGACCGCTAGCAAGGTATTAGGATGGATACACAACCCCAAAATATTTAAGTTATGGGAAAAAATTAATGTTGTCTCTGAGTCTTATTAGGGAAATGCATTTTTCATTTTAATGAATTTTGTTCATGTTTGGAATCTTTATTTTAGTATACATTGTACTGTTTCAAAAGAACTCAGTACTGCTAGTATCTGCCTTATTATTTTAGGAGTGGAATGTGAATATCTTGTTTTTTTGCAGTTTTGAACATGGTATGTCATGCTGTGGAAACTACTACACCAGTTTGCTTTTTTTTCCCTAAAGTACAGACCTAAAATTATTTAGCTATAAACAGTAACATGTGTATGTTTCTGTAAATGACAGCATTTTCCCCAGTTACCTTTATTGTATGACAATAAATCTGTTCCCTAAAGATTAACAAATATACTGCAACTGCAAACAGTCTTCTGGATTTATTAATGAACATGTATTGATCACCTCCTCTATCAGGTGCAGTGCTTGGCATGTCTATTTAAAAGTATTATTTCATTTCTAAACAAATCAAGTCCAGGAAGTTGAAATCTTTGTAAAATTATGAAGTCATCCTCTGATAATGTATCTGTTGTACTTCTCAGTCTCAAAGCTGTCTGTATGGACCCAAGTCGGAAAGTCCCTGCGGCATCACTGGGAGCGTTGGTGTCTTTCAATCTGAGGAAGAAGTAATAATTAAAGAGCCTGTTTGTAGAAAAGTAAAGAGCAAATGTACACGCCTTTGTTTTAACATTGTCTGAGTCACAATGGAGGTGGTCCTTTAATTCCTCACCAAAACTAGGGTTCAAGGAGGATGTTTTTAAAAATCTAAATTTCTGTTTGTTTTTTGTGAAAAGGTGTTCTGGAAAACCTTATTTGTAATGTTATATAAACATAAAATTTTGTGTTAAAAACTTGTACCATTTTATCAGCCAAAATACTGATACCCATTTTAAAGCAAAATGGAAAAACATCCAATATAGTCTCCTTCTGGCTGCTTCCTACAAGCGAAAGCAAACTTTATGTCACTTTATTTGGCCTTGCTTGTCTCTGTTATGTTTCTTTGTGTGATTTTCAAACTAATAGACCTCTAGATTTATTGTCTTGGATTTGCAAGTACGCTGGCTGAGAACTAAAATGGTCATAAGGTTTATCAGAAAAAGGAAGTGTACTTAAGATTATTTTATTAAGAAAGGCTTCTACATAAATGCACTGAAATAAATGCTAGTAATTTCTTGTATTCTCATTTTTTTCTTTTGCTTCTCATGGAAATGTTTGTACTTTTTTATCATTGTCTTTTATGAAATATAATGTTCTAAAGATTTTGTGTGATAATGTAATTATTTCCTCTCAGGAACTCTTCGTGTTACCTGGGAGTTTTTGTTTTCATGTTTCAAATTGAATTGCTGATGATAATCTCAATGGCCTTAGTGTTACAGCGTAAGCATGAGGCAGGCATAGCTGAAATACACTCTGACATCATCTTTCTACTTCAAAAAAGATGCAGTCATATTTAAATATTTTTAATGAATACAGTTTCTAATCTGTTGTATCAAAATGAATTTCAAGAATTTAGTTTTAGCATAAATTTTATTTTCCCTGCACAGCTTCACCAGCCTAAGCTGATGTGTTATGGCACATTTGTTTTTTAGGTGCCAGGTTTTGAAGATATTTGAACCAAACAGTCAGACCTCTTAGATACCTTGGGACTACATTGTGAGATCAACTTAACGTTTGTATGATGAATTCTGAGTGTGATTAATTTTTATGCATAAGTATGATCTATAAAGGCATTGTCACTATAAATCACAATAAAACCAGTCATTAACTCATAAGCATTTCATTATAAGATTTAATTAGCCATAGGTTCCTACCTGTGATATTAATATGTCCCTGTGATGAAATAAGTTATCTTGATTTAAGAACCCTAAACATCCCAGCACTAGAGAGACAGAGGCAGGAGGATCCTTGTGAGTTTGAAACCAGCCTGGACTACAAAGTGAGCTCAAGACCAGCCTGAACAGCATAGCAAGATCCTGTTTCAAAAAACAAAACAAAAACCCTATGCATATGTATTTGGGGTGCTATATTAAGCACATGTTTGTGGACATATTCGCCAGAGTGGTTTTATTTAGAAAAGGTTAGTCTTAAGAAACGTGCTCTTGATGTAAATATTTGGGAGGAGAAATGACTTACTCAACCATTGTACAATAAAAATACAGTACCTGATTTCAAAAATAAAACTTGGATCTTTGCACATTCCTCTAACATTTTGAGGCAGTGTATCAATGTCAGTGACATTACACTACAGTTTTGCCAAGATCCCATCATGGGAAGGAGGTCTGTACAAACTGTACACAAGATATCCTTGTTTATATCTTCTTGATTTGGTGGTGCCGGAGCTTGAACCCAGGACGTGCTGGGCAGTGCTCCCACTGAGCTGCTCCCTCAGCCCTCCGTTACTTCTTACCACTGCATGTGAATGTAAAATCATCTCAAAATTTTAAAAAATGAAAGGTAAATGGTGCTGTTCGAAAAATGACCAACTTCGCTCACAAACGATAGATTACGATTACCTACAATACCAGTTTTGATGTGTCAGATTGGCAAAAACCCAAATGTATGATGAGACTGGCTAATTCCACTGGTAGGTTGAAACATGTCACTACCTCTGCCAAGGGGAGCTTTGCAGTGCCCAGTACTCTTAGGCTTATTACTAACGAGACATCTCTACAGATAGGAAGCAACAGGTGTTCAGGTTTATTCATAGAAGATTGAGTAGCAAAAGCCCAGATGCACCGTGATGTCATCTGGAAGCCGGTGGCTGAGGGAGCTCTAATCACCCACCCGGTGGAGCACTGCAGGCATGAGTGGGACGCTGTGGTGAATTCTGTTCTAATGATGCATATTGGCTTTCGGGTTACAGAACAGGATTCTGCGGAGAAAATAAGATTCAGAGGTTTGCAAAAAAAGTCTTTGGTTAGTGAAAGAGAAATAAAAATATGTGCATTTGCCTCTTCACAAGAGACTAGTGGTGACAATCCAGAGACTAATAAAAGTGATAGTCACGGGGGATGAGTGGTGGTGAATGCAGGGCATAGAGATAGAAGTGGCATTCCTTTAACTGCTTTTTTATAGTTGTGAACATAATGTGTTTTTGCATATCAAATATTACATTTAAGTTAAAAAGCAAGCCCTAAACTTGAATTTAAATACATTTTTAAAGAGGGCTGTCTAGAGTTTTCTTGTAGGTAGTGATTAACCTCAGCAAATTAAAATCATTCCTATTCAGTAATTCTCACTGCATTCTGTAAAATCACTGATCCTGTATTTTCATGTTGCCCAGAGTCTTTATTGTTTCTCCCTATTTTTATTTTGTCTTTTTGTTTCCATCCAGGGTTCACCTTGCATCGTTAGTGTGTGAAATGTGACATCTGCCCTTGGTGCCTGTATGGTAGGTTAGCAGCCCAATGTAGGGACTTTCCCAAAGAATCCGCCTGAACCACCTCCTCAAAAGCAGTTCGCCACACTTAGTCTCCTGCTGGCTGCAGCTCATGGAGAGGGGTAGCCTGGCCCAAAGCCCAGCAGACAGGCCAGTCTGATTGCTGATGTCCCTACAAGGGGCTCAGAGGCTGAAAGGGCTAATTGTCAGGAGGGCCCCTGTGTAGAGGCTGACCCTTGAGGCTGAGCCCATTTTCGCCTGTGTGATGCAGCAAACTGATAACGCTGGCCCACAAAGACAGAGTGCAGGAAACTTGCTGGGAAGTGCAGAGCCTGGGAGACAAGAACCAGACCCACCATGGGGCCCGCTTGCTCCCAGTCTTTGTGCTCTGTGAGGTAATACAGGACTCCTCAAATAAATCCATCTGCCATTCACAGCTGGGACCAGTGTGTGTTTTCCTACCTTAAAAGATCCCTTCTTAACACACTTCATTTCTCTTTTACAAAGATTTTGACCTCACTGAAATCAGTTTTGATTATAAGGATCAAAGAGATAAGCTATTGGTAATCAAAATTATACAAATCTATGCAAAAGTAGCTAGCTTACTAAAGTGAAACACTTTTGAGGATGTTTCTGTTTTACCTGGTATTCTAATAGGGGCTCAATAAGTTTATTACATGAAGCTTGTTTTTTCCAGTTTTGATGTGATCTCAGTTTTTTAAGGATTGCTTTTCTCGAAAGGAAGGGAAGGTAGAATCTCCCTTCTTACAACTTTAGTTTTAGCAAGATTCAAGAACAATGGAAACAATTTCCTAGACACCTGGCCCTCATCACCCTGGGTCTTGATACTCTGTGAAGCTGAGTTTGGGGTCACTGCGGCTGGGAGCTTTTAATGGATATACTCCAGGGTAATAGGTCTCAGTGCTGATTCACTTTAGAATTTGAAAACTACAATAATTCCCTCCATCCCTTACCCATTGTTTTATTTTGCATGGTTTCAATTATCCATGGTCCACTATCATCAGAAGATACCAAATGGAAAATTCCAGAAATAATTCTTACGTTTTAAATTACACATCTTTCTAAGAATTACTTAAATATGGGCACTGAAATTCCATGACTGTTGTTCTGATAATCAAGCTACCAAGTGACTAACAGATAGTGTGTCCTGTGTGGCTACAGTGGAAACAGGGACCGCCCCTGTCCTGGGTGGGATGGAGCTGTGAGGCACGAGATCCCAGCACATCATTGGAGGGGGCCTCCTGGGGTCCGCAGAGAAGGCCGGTAGGAGCCTAGTGCTACATCATTGTGGCCGTATGGTTCACGCTGCTGTCCCATGAAATAACCATTGCATCACATCACAAAAAGGATACAGTATTTTGAAAGACCACATTCACATGGCTTTTATTACAGTACATTTTATTTGCTTGGTTCTATTATCTTGATGTATATTTATAGAAAAGTGAGTTTGAGACTATAAAGTTTTAGGTATCCACTGGGGATCTTAGAACATATTAGAGGAAACTGCTGTATAACTGCACGGGGGCATCATCTCCAGAGAATGTGAAGTAACTGGCCCAGTTTAGGGGTGGGTATTCCTCAAAATATGCCTGTGTCTCTAGAAAGCAAGATTGAAAAGTGATGGCAGTAGGTGTCATGAAGGTGGCCTTGAGCCCATGCGACCTCTGGAGGCTTTTCTGCAGATTTTAGACGTGGTCCAGGTTTTTATTGAGACTTGTGGTTCTCAGAAGGGTCCATGGGCAAGTAGAGGCAGTATTTCCAGGGAGTTTGTGGAAATGCCAATTCCTGGGCCTTAACCCGTCCAACAGTATCAGTCACCTAGGGTGTGTCAAAGTGGTCTGCAACTTACCAGGCCCTCAAGGATTTCCTGATGTGCATAGAGGTTTAACAGGCAGAGCCCAAGAGCAGAAGAGGCTGACGTGGCACCGCCTGCTCTCCAGGCTTTGTTGTAAGTTGTTGTTATTGTTATTGTTATTGTTATTGAAGAGGTGCTGGAGGTCTGTGGCACACCTTGTAAGACTGTTATCTTGATGAGTTGACCATTTTGCATATTTTATAGGATAATGTCACTTTATAAAATATTTCACATATTATATTCCTACAGTGGACCAGGCACGCTAATCTCTTTCCATGTGATAGCTTATTTGATGCTCACAGCCAGGAGGAAGGAGGAAAAATAAAGATCAGTCAGAAGCTCCAGGAGAGTTTCCATGGCGGAAGAGGAAATGCTCAGTGCTGGGCACTGCCACCCATTCAAGATGAGTCAGAAAGCACATGGGAATTTTGAGGCGTGGTGGCCGTGGAACAAGGGGCAGATGATAAAACTGTGTCATCCCAGAAATGTATGAAATCTTTCTAGAAACCAATGACTAACTGTGGACTTTAACTCCAAAGAAATCCAACAATGTATTAAGCTTGATTTTTAAGTTTTTTTTTTTTGTACCAGAAATCAAACTCAGAACCTTGTGCTTGTCAGGCAGATGCTTATGCCACTGAGCTGTATCCCCAACCCCATGTATTAAGGTTCTAAGTACAGATAGAGAAAGACACACGTACCTAGAAGACAGCACAACAGTGTGACAGCAGTTATTCTAAGTACAGGCTGAAGGCTTTTGTTGCTTCTAAAACCAAAGAATATAGCATCACTGTAGCAGTGTACTTTTGTAAGGCAGTTAAAGTTTCCCACAAGCATACTGGGATATGTTGGGAAATAAGCAATTTTTAGTAATGATTTTTTTAGTGGCTATTTATCTAAAAAGTCTTTTTAAAGTTATTTCCTGGGAGTAAATGTAATTTCCTTTCACTCTAGGTCTATAAGCCAAAGTGTTATAATTACTTATAGGAGGAACAAATAGAATA